CTCCACCCTCCTTCTTGCCATCATTCAGTTTGGATTTCCTGCCTAATCTCTTCCTGCCTAGCTATTGGCCAATCAGCTTTTTATTAACAATGAAAGCAATGCACATCTAAAGTGTACAAAGATTGTTTCACAGCAAAAGGCCTTTAGTCCTGGAGGCAGACAGTCTACAGCACTCCCGGCAATCCCTCTGCCTGTGAGGCCTATTATGACAATCTTTTCCGATAGCTCCAAGGCAAGGTGGCACTGAGCAATAGTATTAAGGGACAGATTTCCTAGATGCTAATGCTTAAAATAATTACACATTTGTTTTGTTCTTCATTTGGCGGTAATGTCTCTTAAAAAGTTGTTTAAATTGTGTGTATGTTTTAACTCTACTCTGCTGTGAGCTTTTTTCTATTCAGTGACCATTCTGTGCATTCACAATTTAAAATGAAGAACCCAGTATGTGTGTGTTTTCTTGATGTGTTTGTGGAGGGCTAGAATTTTGATCAGGAGCTGTGTCAGATATAAAGGCTTGTTACCGTTCATCACAGGTCCATGTTCACACATAAGAAACATAATCAGGAGCATCTGGATCCAGAGGTTCAGACGTCATCAGGCCTCATCACTTCACCTCTCAAGTGGCCTTTCTTTTGTTTGGTTCCTTTCTGGTATTGGGTTCTAATGTTTGGAAATCAAGATATCTGCTAGAAACTTTACATTAGCAACTCATAATCTCCAATTGCAGTGGAAAAGTATGGGTTTTCTTGGTTTCTTTCTTTTTGTTTTGTAGAGAGTTCCAATAAGACTCCTGGGCCTACTGGGTCATGGCCTTACCCTAAAGCAGTCCTAGGATGTGCTAAGTGAAGGGGACAGAGACACATAGGTTTGGTTATCTTTTTCCAAACTACTTGTACAGAGGGGAGGGAGGCTGAGCCCAAAAGGAAAAGGGGATCTTCAGTTCAGAACAGGAGTGCTGCATTAGCACATTCCAACATTTTTCCTTCGGGGTATTGCAGATGACTAGAGAAAATCAGGTTCAGCTTTAGAAGAACCAAACCTTTGCATCTACAGTCAGGACTGATCAGAACACATTTAAAAAGACACTAGTGGGTGGGTGGTGAGAGACTACAGAACACTACATAGCACTGAATTTAAAAAAAAATTCCATTAGCTGTTAAGGTTTTAAAAACAAAGGGCTTTTGGTTCTCCAGTTTTACTGCATTATTGTTCACAATGTATCCTACTGGGTCTGGAAATTATGGTGATATTGAAGCAGAGGATCAAAACAACCGAAAGTAAATTAGCATAAAACCCTTACATCACAAACCATTTGGGAATGTGAGGTCATTAGGGGCTGTGAATCCCTGCCGGCAAGATAGAAACAAAAGAATTTTCCTAAGAATTCTTAGGCTTTGTTTTCCTCTCATAATGTTAATTGAGCCGAATAATAATATTACAGCAGGGAAAAATGATTTTCAGAGCTAGTGTAATTTTGTGATTCCTAAACTGTGAAAGACCGTGTTTGGGCTCTGAGTCATGTAACCATGTCCTCTAAACAGCTGAGATGTGGGTTTGCAAGTTATGAGGAGATGTGTAGGCATTTGCACACTTTTTTCCAGGGACACAGTAACAGAGGAAAAGGCAAAGTTCAAGTGCAATATCTACAGGTTGTGAGAGTCATCTCAGTGATTGTGATGGTTAATAATGAGTGTCAACTTGATGGGGTCTAGAATTACCTAGCAGACAATACTCCAGGCACATCTGAGGGATTTTCTAGTTTAGGTTAATGGAGGCAGGAAGAGCCACCCTAACTGTGGGCAGCACCACTCCCTGGGTTAGGATCTCAGACTGTATAAAAATGAGAAAGCAGCTGGCCAAGACCATTCATCTCTTTCTGCTTCCTGAATGTGGAATCAATGACACAAGAGACTTCAAATTCTCTTGCCACACCTCCTCCATCTGCAGCATTAGGAGTTATGATTAGGGAGCCAAATAACCCTTTGTCTTAGAATTTCTATTGCTGTGAGGAGACAGTATGACCACAGAAACTCTTATAAAGGAAAATGTTTACTTGGAGTGACTTGCTTATAGTTTCAGAGGTTTAGTCCGTTGTCATAGCTGGAAGCATGGTGGGTGTCACAGGCAGACATTATGCTGGAGAAGGAACCCAGAGTTCTACATCTAGATTGGCAGGCAGCAGAAAGAGAGAGATACTGGGCCTGACTTAAGCATTAGAAATCTCAAAGCCCATCCCCAAAGTTACATTTCCTCCAATAATGCCACACCCACTCCAACAAGGCCACATGTCTTAAGCCTTTCAAATAATGCCACTCCCTATGAGGCTTTGGAGGCCATTTCATTCAAACCACCCCACCCTTCCCCTCCTTGTTTGTGCCAGGTGCTTTGTTATAGTAACAAGAAACACAACTATTACAGTGATAAAGTGAGAGAGAGAGAGAGAGAGAGAGAGAGAGAGAGAGAGAGAGAGAGAGAGAGAGAACCTTCCCCTAAGGGGTCCTGGGAGAGCCCCAAGTTACATTTTAAGTCCTAGTTATTGTGCCTGAAAGATTCATAAAACAAAAATGCCTCTGATCTGTAAGCCTATTGCCCAGGGACAGATAGTTCCTGACATGGTGAAGGCTATTGCTTATGGGAGGTAACAAACCACATGTCTTCACTCCCCTAAACAAGTTTGTTTGATGCAACTACACAGGAAATGCTTGATCACATGTGGGCAGAAGTTTCAAGACAAAAAATACATCATGATGTATGCTTGCCCCTGATTGGACCTGATTGGAAATAGTGTATGCCCCTGCAAACTGTGACTTGGAGCCATTTTCTGAGAAACCAGAGTTGAACCTAGCCAGAGAATCTATCAGTCTGGCCAGTATTTAATTAGAGCTTGATTCAGATTTGTCTTTAAACTGTGGTAGTGGTCTTATTCTCAACTGATGGGATTGACAGTCCATGGCTGGATCCACTGTGGATGGGTACAGTGGCTACACTCCCAGCAGCAGTAGTGTGGAGGAATACTGTGTCTAAAAGCATTGTCTGGAACCAAAAGACCTGTTTAAATTGGTATTAGTCAGCTTCTGTGATGATAAGAAACATCCCCTGAATCTTAGCTGCTTACACAATAAGCACCACTTTATGGATCACGGTTTGTGGGTCGGGCTGCTGCTCTGCCAGACAAGGTTGCTGCTGCTATGTCTTCTCACTCCAGGACAAGGTGGAAGGAGCTCCCAGTGTGCTGTGCCCAAGACAGAGCCCCAAGGCTAAAGGTAGCAAGTGGCAGCACATGATGCACCTCAAAGTCATCACATGGACTGGCTTAGTATCAAGTCTGTATTCTACAAGCTAAGGAAAGTGTCATATAGTTAAGGTTTCTATTGCTGTGAAGAGACACCATGACCACAGCAAGTCTCATAAAGGAAAAGCATTTAATTGGGGTGGCTTACATTTTCAGAGGTTTAGTCCATTATCATCATGGTGCAACATGGTGGCATGCAGGCAGACATGATGCTGGAGAAAGGAGCTGAGAGTCCTACATCTTGATCCATAGGCAACAGGAAGTGGCCTGAGACACTGGGTGTTGTTTGAGCTTATATGCAACCTCAAAGCCCATCCCCATAGTGACACAATTCCTCCAACAATGCCATACCTACTCCAGCAAAGCCATGCCTTCTAATAGTACCACTTTCCCATGAGCTGATGGGAGCCAATTGCATTCAAACTACCACAGCAAGCAATAAGGCCAAGTCCAAAGTTACTGATTTAAGACCCTAAGACTTACTACTGTGGAGAGTCACATCATATAGAATGAATACTAGGGTTTACCTCAGTCTGACTGCTCTGCTGCTCACTTGCTGGTGGCAGTGAATACATTATTTAAGACTCAGGTTGTTTCATGGGGAGACAACACTGTTTGCCTATTTATAGATTGTATTCCTCCCTTTCCTTGTTATTGTGACACAATACTCATCAAAAGCAACTTAGGGAGGGAGGAGCTTATTTTGGTTCTCAGTTTGAGAGGAATCTGTCCTTGTGGTGGAGGACAGACAGTAGCAGGCACATGAAATATCAAGTCACTTTGTGTCCACAGTCAGGAAACAGTGAGAGATGAATACTGGTACTCAGCTCCCTTTTTCTTCCCCCTTTATTTAGGCCAGATCTCCAGCCCATGGGATGGTGTTAGTTTGTGTCTACTTTCCTCAGCTAACCCCTTTAAAGATACACTTAGAGGTGTGTCTCCAAGGTGATTCAAAATCTAGACCCCGTGACCATGGAGACTGACAATCACACAGAATGAGGGCTCAATCAGAGGATGCATGTACAAAGCATGGTAGTGCCTTTTGAGAGAATAGGTGTTTGGCAAAAGAAAGTTTCCCTTGTGTTATTGTTAATCTGAAGCACTGTATTAAAGGCAAGGATTGTGATGAAGGCAAAGACCAGCAGTGGCGAGAAGGCAGGACAGGGAGGCTTACGTTTACTGAACACAGGAGAGAAGATAGCAGTCAAACAGCCAGGTTATAGAGTTTAAAGTGGTGAGAAGATAAGGGCTCATCAGACCCAACGTTCATAAATGCTGTACAAGAGGGAAACAAAGGAGTGCCTGATGAACAATGGCTCAGCCCTTCCCCAACAGGCTTGCCATGGTCTGAGGAAGGCTGAGGCTTTAACAAACTCAGTTGGTCACCCAGTTTCCTGCAGAACTGGGAGACTGGAGACCCCTGAAGATCACACCTGCCAAGCCTCACTCCTTGCAAGTTCTGCCCATCGATTCTCCTCTGGCTACTGCCTCCTTCACGCTGCTCTGCACCCCCTTTGCAGAACCTGCACCCCCTTCCCACCATCTCCAGTCTTCCTATGGTACTCAACACCAATCACATCTGACCACCCCTGCCATCCCTGGGTACGGCTGTCTCTGTCTTCCTCACAGCCTTTCTGTTACATCATAATGTACAACACTCCCTCCCCAGTTAACCTTTTACCTCTCCTCCCTGTTACCATTCCTTGAGGACCAAGGCTTCTCTTGCTCTGGGGTTTCCTTTGCAGCCAAGCCCTGCCTCTATGACACTCCAATAAATGAGGCCTGGTTGATATTTTATCCTTCAGTATCCTGGCCAGCAGTCTGGGGAAGCTGTAGAGACCTGGCCTCACATTCCATGTGTCTACTGAGGAATTATATCTGAGGGCTTATGAAAGGTGAGTTACTTTGAAAGAATTCTCTGTGTTCTGCCACAGAGCAGATTATACTAGTTTATCAAACTACTTCAGTAATTCTGAAAACAGAACTCTGTGTGACATAATGTCAGAGACACAGTGGGTATGGCTGCCATTTTCAGGAGAGTTGAAACAGAATAATCACAGCCTGAGATGGAAAATAAAGCATGGTATGGTACTGAAGTCGGCCCCCTCCTGGAGGAAGCTTCTTCTTCAGAGCAGGAGGCTATGCTATTGCCCTATTCTTCCACAATGTGGCAGGACACAGCAGGAATGAATATCCTTGGCTGAGGAGATAAGATCTGCTTGCAAGGTCTGTGCACACATCTAGCAGGGGCCATCAAAGGCAATGGGGCCTCAAGCCTGGCCCCTCATGTCAGTATGGCTCCCTAGAGCATAAAAGCTATTCTCAGTCCCCTCCTCCCAGATTGAGCCAAGCATCTGGGGGAGGCTTTGCCCTGGAGGAGGTGTGAATGGGGGGGGGGGGCTTCGGCGGAAGGGGAGGGGGCAGGAAGGGGGAAAACAAGGGAATCTGTGGCTGTTATGTAGAACTGAATAGTATTGTAAAATAAAATAAAAGGAAAAATAAAATAAAAAAAATAAATTTTTTTTTAAAAAAAGCTATTCTCAGAAGAGGGACAAGGCTGGAAAGAATGGCTATAGAGACCAGGCTTTGTCTGCCTCCTGCCTTACATTCCTTCCTGCTGTCTCTGAACCTCTCACCTTCTCAGCTTCACATTCACAAGCTCTCAAAGTGTCAAAGTCCATAGGACAATGAAGACTGGCTGGACTCCAGAGTCTAGTAGTGTTTCTGTCTTTGGGGGTCCTAAGAACTCCTCCCAAGGGGGATGGATCTCAAGCTATGAAATATTGTCAGCAGGGGCTTTTCCCATCATATTTTCAGCATGTAGTTTAAACATACAATCTTCTAAAATTATACAGGATTTGTCACTGATTTGGCATCTGTGAGTTACCCATGTGATCTGTATACCTTATACCAATCACAAGGCATGTTAGGCCAAAGGGATCCCAGCCTCTTCCTCTTTCTCAATCAGCCAACACCAACCACCTGCCTGTGGGAGCCCACAATGACTCCAATTTGTGACATAATTCCATCTTGACTCAAGGTCAGGGAGTTTAAGATTGTCTTTGCTCCTTAAGGCTGGATAACAGGATATTTGGCCAAAGGTGTGATTGCCAGAAGTCTTGAGAATTAAGGAGGTGTTTATGCTTATTTATGCCTTGAACCATGGTGTCCTTGAGAGGGTGAAGTCTTTTGCCCCTCTTGCTTTGAGTATAAAAAGGCTGTGATAAATAAACTTGGGGCTGCTGCAATATTGACTGAGAGTCCCCCTGAACCTATTCTGTGTCTCTGTTTCTGTTTTTCCTAGCTGTTTTTTCTCAGTCATTACCCCCCTATTCAGGACTATTCAATAGGTCAGGCAGGACCCAACACATGTCACCTAAATAGAGCAGTCTCAGTGGAAGGCACCACAAATGAAGGGAGTGCTTGGATTAATGTCAAAAGTGGAAGTACAGTGAGTAACTTGGGAGTAAATTCTAAATATGGGGCAGGGTAATAGTAGACAGCTGTTTATACATTTGCGTAAAGATATTTTAAAATCCAGAGAAGCTAAGGTAGGGTAGCAGCAAGTACAGAAATTTTTTGAGTTTTTGGAGAGGCTGTGCCCTTGGTTTCTGGGACACAGGACCTTGAACACAGACACATGTGGGAGAATTGGGCATGAAAATAATGACAGCATTGTGATATGCATGGGCCTGAAAAGGTCCTGATGGATGCTCTTCATCTGTGGGCACCAGGATAGTTTGGATTTGTACCCTGAATGGTAGAGGGTGTTTCCCCACTGACAAAAGTGAAGCAAAACACTCCACACTACCAGAGGAGCTGCTAGACACAGACATCTTTACAGAAGTGTTTAATGATGATCAGTTCAATCCTGGAGGTGAAGCTGAGCTTGAGGAGCAGAAATCTTGTGATGAGACTAAGGAGGAGCTGAAGGACTTGCAATATTTAGTAGTTTCCCTTTCACAAAAATTGGAGGCTCTGCAGGTCTCCTCTTCTCAGAAGGGCACTCCTCTTCCTACTGTAGTTGCTGGATTAGATCTGCCTGGGGTGCCATCTATCAAAGTGGAAAAATTGCCTATGATTGCTATGGTGCAAAGGCCTCCTGGAGCTTCACAAACACTTGCCGTTAGTCATACCATCTCCCCTGCAAGCTAGTGTTACAGAAGCAGCTAGCAGAGGGAAGGATGTACAAGGATTTCAAATGTTCCCAGTAACTGAACACCAAGACTCCAGGGTAATATTGTATGAGTGCATGCACCGATTCCATTTAAACATCTCAAGGAATTAAAAATTGTGTGCTCTCAGTATGGGCCTACTGCACCCTTTACATAATCTCTGCTTGAAAACATGGCTCTAGAAGCCTTTCATCCCAGGGATTGGAAACAGATGGCCAGAGCTTGCCTATCAGGAGGGGATTATTGTTAGTTATTTGATAGCTCTTTTACCCTGCGAGGAAATGTCACGAAACACAACAGAATCCATTAACATGAGTTTTATTAAGATAAGAGAGAGAGACAGACATGACAGGCCTGTGAGAAAGACACGTGCATAAAGAGAGAAGACGGGAATATGGTGCCAGCTTAGAAAGGCTGGGCTGCGCCTCAGTACACAGGCTCATGTGGCTACTCCACGAATGTGCATAGATCACATGGTTGCACTGTATGCTTTATGCAATCATACAAAGCCATGGGGTCCTGGTCACAAGAGACATTTTGACCCGGAAATGGCTATTTTGACCCGGAAATGGCTAGGCACAAGTGTCTAGGTCCACCGGGCATGCCCAACCATGGGGGCATGTTGTGAATCTATCAATTATTTGTTGTGGAAGACTGAATTCGTGGAGCAATGTCAAGCCACAGCTGATTTAAATCAGGCCCAACAAATTCCCATTATTTTTGATATGCTTGCTGGAGATGGCATTTATCAGGAGACAGATCAGCAGTTAAATTTTGATGTGGTAGTATATGCCCAGGTTAATGCAGCTGCTAAGAAAGGTTGAAATAAACTTCCATCTACTGGAAGGCAGACCAAGGACTTGTCAAAAATAATGCAAGGACCTGAGGAATTATTTCAGGACTTTGTCTCTAGGCTAATGCAGACAATAAGCAGGTTAATTGGAGATACAAGAGCTGAGCTTTTGCTTGTTAAACAGCTAGCCTATGAAAATGTTAATGCTGCCTATCAGGCTGCTTTGAGACCTTTTAGCAAGAAGGAAAACATCTCTGATCATATTCGACTTTGCTGGGATGTTGAGTCTTTGTATACTCAGGGGCTAGCTATGGCTGCTGTATTACAGAGAAAAACAATTAAGGATGTTCTCTTCCAACAAAGAAGTAATGGCCCAAGGCAAGGGAGAGCTATGTGGACTCCTGGAAGTTTCTTTGGGTGTGGTCAGATGGGCCACCAGGTCAAGCAGTGTCCTGATAAGGGAAAAGGCATAGGGGCAAATAAGGAACCTGGGTTGTGCATGAGATTTAAGAGAGGGAAGCATTGGGTTAATAAATGTGTATCAAAGAAGGATGCCCAGGGGAATTCTCTGCAGGTAAATGGATAGAGGGGCCAGCTCCAGGCCCTGAGACAGTGTTATGGGGTACTTTAGGAGTTTGTCCCTCCACAAGGAAATCGATTCTGGACCTCTACAAAGCAACCCCAGGCAGTGCAGGATTGGACCTCAGCTCTTCAATCTGCATAGTTTTAACTCCTGAAATAGGAGTGCAAGTCCTCCTTACTAGTGTATATGGGTCTTTCCTGAAAGGCAATGTATGGTTATTGCTGGGGAAGAGTATTACCGCCATGCAGGGTGTCTTTGTTGCTCCCAGAGTGATTGATGCTGATTATGTAGGAGAAACCAAGGTTATGACTCAGCCACCTAATGGCATTTCTGTGGTAGAGACAGGCCAGAGACTTGCACAATTAATTTTACTTCCCTGGGTGCAAACAATAAATCAGGTTAAAAGAGATAAAAGAGAAGAGGCTGGATTTGGTTCATCTGATGCCTATTGACTACAAGCCATAGGTCCACAGCACCCAGAGTTCACTTTGTTTATAAATGGAAAGAGCTTTTCTAGTCTTCTAGATATTGGTGTGGAAGTGTCTGTTATTACTGTGAGTCAATGGCCTTCAATGTGGCCAAAGATAGAGACTATTACACAGCTGTAAGGGATTGGTCAAACCCAGAGTCCTAAGCAAAGCAGCAATAAACTTTCCTGGAAAGATGAAGGTCATGAAGAAACTCTTTGGCCATACATTATTGTTCCTCACTTGCCTGTAAATTTGTGGGGTCGAGGTGTTGTGAGCCAAATGAGAGAGTATTTGTATAGCCCCAATGCAGTTGTTGCTAAACAAATGTTTCAACAAGGACTGATACCTGTTCAGGGGTTAGGAAAAAACAGTGATGACCAGGCATCACCCTTGCTTCCTCAAGAAAGGTCTAATACAGCTGCATTAGGCTATTCTTAGGAGGCATCATTGGGCAGCCTGTACTCCATGTAGATCCTATATCTTGGAAATCTGATGATCCTTTGTGGGTGGATCAATGGTCCCTAACAAAAGAAAAAAAAATATAAGACACCCAGCAGTTAGTACAGGAACAGCTGGATGGTGGCAATCTGCTGCAGATAGATTTTGACATGATGGCACTTGAGCAACTTTGCTCAGGTAAAATGGAAAGATCCTTGCACTGGATTATGGAATAGCCCCTGTTTTAATAATGGGAAAAGCACATGTTTCTGTTTTTTTTCACAAGAAGAAAATGAAGCTCAATGACTGCCTGAGTGGTTGCTGCAGTATGTGGATCAGAGGGATGCCAGCCCTGATGATACTGTGACTGCTGATGCTCCCTACGAGGAGTTGGAGTGAGATTTACTGAACCTATGCTCCTGATCCTCCAGTGTTT